AGGACTCAATCCACAGTAAACCACCTTATAGAATAAACCACTTCACTACCTCTGAACCTGTGCTCCATAGTGACATTCATGCCCATGGCATTGTGCTCTGATCCTTAATTTCCTTTGTTTGCCTCTAGTTAACTTTAACTTCATTTCACTTCAGCAGCTGAGCACTCACTGTTTGCTAAGCATGTGTAAAGCAGGGATGAAGAGTACACAGACTAGCTTTAGGAACACTACAGCCAGCCAGGGCAATCCCATTTTATTTTATAATGCAGGAAGGCTGAGGTACAACGGACAGTCACGGTGTTGTGGGATGGAATTTAAACTGAGCATACCAAGAAGGCTGTCTGGGAGACAGTAGTGCAGATGAGTTTTAAATCCTCTGTACAAGCTGGTATCTCCTTCTACCGGCCTGAAGCTCTATAGGATATTCTTTGTTTTACGTTTTGCAATTATCCCAGTCATGTGAATATTTTATTGCTCTTAGCAGCTGATTGTGGGTATGGGGACCAGAGCTCAGTAGGTGGAGAAGTCAAGATGTTCGGGATGCTGAAGGGCATTCAGCTGGACGATGACTGCAGAGGGATGAACTTAGAAAGCTAGCAGAAGGAGTTGGGGATTTAGCTCAGCAGCACAGTGCCTGCCTGGCAAGCGCAAGGTCGTGAGTTCGGTTCCTGGAACCAGGAAAAAAAAAACAAAAAAAAAAAGAAAGAAAGCTAGCAGAAAGGATTATAGTCCCTTAAGAATCAGAAAAATTGAGGAAAAGTGTTTGTTGTGGGGCATAAGTGTAAAATAATGCTGACATCAGATTTTACATGGTAATAAGAAAGAGGGGTAAGGATGAATTGCATATAACAGAAAAATGCTTAAAAACATTATGTGACAGCGTATATAGGAGACTACAAACAACACATAAGTGAGGTTATATGTGTTATATCCTATATATGTACTATATATCCTCTAAATGGAATATATGTTGTGCTGATACATAATTTACAGCATCCATATAGCACAAAGATAGACAAATATTGTGCTATAGGAAGTACAATGTACAGTACTGTGTGTATGACTATATATATGCACATACACACAATTAAACATACTTCTCTTTTGTACATGCACTCTTTGAATAAATGGTAAGCACAATCAATGTACGGCTTAATTATTCTCTTCTTCCCATGACTCGAAGTAATTAACACATGCACTGTGTGACTCATGCTAAAAGGTCTGAAAAGATGAAATTTGGCTCTTACAACTTGTGCATCCAAGATTCCTCACACTATCCTTTATTAAGAGTAGCTTTCTTGTGCTACAGAGCTTATAAGAATAATGTTTTGGTCACATCTTTGTGAAGAGAAAGGAATGGGAGAACATGTGTAGAAGCACTCTGGGTGCAGGGTTGTGCTGGAGAAATGGTATCTAACAGAACATTTCAGATGTACAGATGTGACTGAGCTGTGTGATATGTTATCCACTATATACTTGAAGTTTCTATGATTGGAAAAGTTTCCTCTTAATTTAATTAATTTAAATTTGAAGAGCTACATATGGTACTGGCTACCACGGTTGACATCACAGCTCCAAAGCCTTGAACCAGGCAGAAAGTTGAAAATACAAAGCCCACGTGGACCACATTCAGACCTAGGACTTATTTTCTTTGGTCTATGGAGCACTAAAAAGAAAAGCAGAATTGACAGTAAAAGCAGACAGATTCCAGATAGTAACAATGGGCCAGTGCCGAGAAACAGTTACGAACATTTGGTAGAAGAACAGCTGAGTATCTAGTCATTCGTTAAGGTGCTCTTGGAGCAGGCCCTCTCACTCAGTTTTGTTACCTGCCTGTTCCCTATTGGTATTTATATATTTTACTCCAGTTTAGTCCAAAAACGGTGTCTCTTTAAATGTTTCACAGCATGCAGTGACCACAGATCCTTCCATATGAGATCTTTCAGCAAACACTGGGCATTTCTAGCCCCATATAATATAGGAGAAAGATCCTTCCCATTTAAAAAGTATTAATACTTCCTCAGGGTAACCTCTTTCAGCACTCTCGGCAATTATGGTGAGACTGAATACTAATTAACCTTTAACTATATGCTGTAGGGCTCAGGCAGGGAAATGTAAGATAAAGGATAAAATTCTCAATTAAACCCTAAGACAAGTAATTTCTCTTGAGCATTTCTGAACTTTTGGATTTCTAATGTGGTCAATTAAGTGTTCTTTTTGCCCAATGGGAAAATAACAACGACAAAGTTTCTCATAGGACAAGTTTGCCTCTGTCTATAAGACAGACTCTGAGCTTTTACAGGACACTCTTTTTGTAGGACTCTAAACGTTTTTTTGTTTTGTTTTGTTTTGTTTCGGTACAAAGACTCTGAAGTTTATTCTGACTGTTCAGAAACACATTTAGATTTCCTTTAACTAGTGATTTCGTGTGGCTTCCTAACTTCCTTCTTTGCCTCAATATCTATCTTCCTGTTTATCTGCTTATATTTAGAAATTAGATTTTGAAAATATTTTCCTGACTTCATGTTTAAAAATTGTATATGTTTCTTAATGCTCTCAAGTTATCACATGTTTACAGTATTCATCTATAATATCTGAAGGATAGTAAAATTATAAGAATAGGCAGGCATATTTTCTTTTGGATTGTTTAAAAAATGATACAAACTATTATCTTGTTGACTATTAATGGGAAAATTTTAAGAAAAAAAAAAGGCCAAAAACAAAGATGTCATCTACTTGAAGTGTTAAATACAACACATACTATCCTATAGAAAATGGCATCAGTTTCTCAAAGAATAACATAGTTACAGAGGCGTTTCTGTTCTAGGAAAACCTAATATTTTTCTTGTGCTTTCAAGATCTCAATTTCTAGTGATTATAAAGAGTTTAAGTGAAATTTTATATAGGTTAGAAGTCTTCAGAAAATCTTTAAAGCTATAATGAAAATGTCCGTTCTCTTTGGCTACAAATAGAGGATTTAAACAATACCTAGCATGCCAACTTTCTTCACTTATCTTCCATATTAAAACAAATAAATCAATCCAAGTCACAAACCTCCTATTCTCTGTTACAGATTTCTTTAAAACTGAAACATCCAAATGCCAGCGTGACATCCCAAGACATATAATGAAACAGAAGTGCCATTGTGTGAGTGGAAAGATTTCTGCATCAACACTTACACACGTAATTAATATATTTAAACACAGACTCCATGGCATACAAAAATACCTGGTATAAAAAGACATAATTACAACACGAGGCTATTTTTGTATTTCTAAAGCTCAATACATCTGGCTGTTGGATAAAACTGAACAAACATAATTAATCTACTCATTTAGAATTACATTTCTACAAAACTAAATCTTGTATCTTGACAATTATTCTGTTGAACATATTTAATCACCAAATTATTTTAAGATAAATGCCAGGAAATACAACTCTACTGACATCAGAAGAAGCACCCACACCTGAGTCACTCACATGGATTTTTTATTGTATTTACAGCTATGTCAGCGAGAATAATTTACTAGTCGAGGAAGAAAGAAACAGATGCATTCATAAGGTTAGAACATCTCAGAAAACTAGAATCCATAATAGTATTGTGTTAAATTTATATGTTCAAAATTCCCCAAAAGCAGAAATAATTCTACATATTGCATATGCTTACATCCGACTAGCTCATAAAATACCATTTTCTAGTTTTTTTAAAAAATGGTCAGCTACGCTTTTCTTATGTCTGTAGATAGAGAGAAATAGGTGCAGATTAAAAACTTCTTGCCATCTCTACCCATTCAGAGGAGTAACCAGAAATCTTTATGGTTATGGCTGAAAGTACACAGTAAGTGTTCATCACTTCCTGATATGAAAATATGAAGATCTACCTGCCAACCCAACCACAGTCCAATTTAACAATGACCATTGACTTCTATTATTTGTACAGATAAAAAGAACTATAGCTGTTCAATATGGTCAAAATGCCCACTCCTGATCTTCAGAAGTTTATTAATAGAGAGTGAAGTTGGTGTGGTCTGCAATAATAGTAAAGGTTGTGCCAACTCAGCAATAGAGAAAACAAGAGTTTTGCAGGGGACACCCACAGTTCTTAAAGATTCGTGTTGTTGTGAAGGTACCTTGAACATATTTTGAAGCCACTGACATGCAAGCAGCATATGCTATTTACACGTAATTCATCTCCTCATTCAAGTGGGTCACTTTAGCATCCCTAAGACTAAAAATTGTTAACCTTGTGTTATATAATCAAGTAAATATTCATCACACTCAGATAATCTACATCTAAAATACTGATATTTTTATTTGAAGGTGATGAAAACTGAATTTTCATCTCTTTCTCCCTTATACTTCTCTGTAATATTTGAAGGTTTCAAATGACTAGGTTCTTATTTACATAATCTTAAAAATGTAGCCACATGTGTTGGTGCATGCCTGTAATATCATAGCTTTGGGAGGCTGAGGCAAGAGAATTACAAGTTCCAGCCCAGTTTTAGACAACTAGGTGATTGGTTGAGACCCTGTTTGGAAAACAAAATTTTAAAGGGTTAGGAATTCAATCATCCATACCGAATAAATCTCTAAATGCACATCCAGCAAAATGGTAGAGGAAGGAGGAACAATGAAGTATATTTTTAATTATGATTTTAAATTGCCTTTAAGGTCAACTCGATTGTGCCTTGTAATGGACATGCTCCTGATAACTACATGTGAATCCAACTTTATAAATTTAATTGCATTATAAATCAATGAAAGGAAATTGCATGCTTATGAGATCTCACCATGTTCTTTAGTTCAGAAATCATATCATAGTGAATGATCAATCAAATATAGACTGTATGGATTCTAATGTTCATGTAATCAGATCTGTTAAATATATTACAGAACTCTAGTTTCCTGTATTCCTAAGAATGGCATAAATGTCCTGAAGCAAAAAATTCCCTAGCTGCTGCATTTGTTTTCCATTTATATTCCAAAACTTTGCACTGTACCTGTAGTGAGGTGAAGGGTTGCCTCTGGCTTCACAATTTAACGTGATTTTTTTATCCTCTGAACCAACAGGGAAAATGCTGTTGCTGGGCTCTTTGAGAAACACAGGTCCTTGTAAGAGAAGCTCACCTATATGCACAGGAGAAATCAAAATGATTACAATAAGGGAAAAGCACTGTAAAGCTGCATTCCAGGACTGAAGAAGGAAAGCAAACAACTTGTGTTTACACTTAAAAATCATATCAGGCAGGGCTTAATTTCCCACCAAGTATCATCTCTGTAGGCACTGCTTTGTTAGGGAGAATGAATTTAATATAAAACACACTGACATACTGATATGATCACTTTAAACCATAAATAAGATTTTATTAATTATTTCTAGTAATAAAACACTATGCCTCTTTGGTGAATGAAATAGTATAAGATGTCTTTCTATCATATGCTTCCTAGAAAACCTAAAACTGAAATCAAAATCCATCGAACACTCAGTTATTTTTCTATAGAATCTGCTGAACATACAAATCGTAATGTTATTTTGCCATTTTGGAAGAAAAGCACTCAATATTTGGTGGTATTTCCATTTTACTGCTGTCAAATTGAAGAAAAGGATGCAGCAGTGAAGAAGTGTCCTTCACAAGGTGTTCCTACTTTGGTTAAGAGAACTTGAACATCCTCAAAGAGAATTTCCACATACATGGAGAGAAAGGAAACGTCTCTCGTCACACCATGAGTTTGTAAAGGAGTGAAGTAATGCTATCACCCAGTGCTTCACAACTGCAGTTGTATAATCACTGCCACAGCATTTGTGAAAACAAACAAATTTTCCAGAGGGAAAAGATGTTCTTTACTCTCCTTTCTTGGAATGCTCAGCAGATTGCTGAGAAGTTTCCCTGCCCAACAATGAATACAATGAACAAACAGACACAAAAATAGATTCCGTGAATAGTGAAATGAAGAAAACAAGATCAGATAGCCCATTAAGGCTCTGGAACTATGAACTTATATTTTGGCTACTTCGTATTCCGGTAATAGTAATAAAAATGATTTTCCACAGCAACAGCAATAATAAATGGACTATATGATAAACAAAATAATGGTTGGAATGATGAAAAGAGTAGCAGCTTGAGCTACAGAGCTAATGTACATGTCCTGATGTGTTCTTTAACCTTAGCATACTCTAACAGGTAAGTATCATGATCCGCTCCAATGCACAGAACAGGAATACTGAACAAAGGAGTGGTTGCAGGGCAGAAGTAAGTTCACACGGCACTTCAGAATGTTAAGTGGACATGCCAGGATAACTGACTCCAAGGTCCATGCAAAGATACCTTCTTGCCTTTCGTGAGATGAATTTCACCTTGCTCCAACTGTAGTCTTTGACCTCAGCTTTGGAGACCTAATATCATTGTTGATAAGGGTATCTTTGTTCAGAGTGGGGATGAAAGCACTAGATCTTTGGGTGAGGTTGGTCATGTCCAGTAGAAACTGTCCACACCAGAGGATCAGCCATAAAGGAGGAAGGGTGTAAGTCCTGAGGTGTCAGCTGACCTAGCGACTGCATTCATCCACTCAGCCAATCAATCTGTTGTGTCTATGAAATGAAACCCCAATATACACTTGAGGGTACTAGAAGTGAGCAAGCTTCTCTGGTTGGCAATACTCCTTGTGCATTAGCATATGGCAGTGTTTGGAGAAAACTACACACAGAATGATAACATTTGGAACCTTCCAGACTCTGCCCTGGGAGTCTCTTCTTTTGCCTGATTTTTGGATGGTTCCCTTCCCTGTGGTAAACGATAAATGTGAGTATAACAGCTTTCACTGACTACAGTCAGTTCATCTCGTAAATTATCTAAGTTAAGGGTGGTTGGAGCCCTCCTCATTTTGCAATTGGCGTTAGATTCTTTGTTTCCCATTCCATGAAATCACACTGCTCTAAACACAGTCAGAGCAACTGAAAGCACTGTGCCATTAAACCTCACAGTTTGGTGGACTCCAAGCACCTCTGCCCTACCACCTCCCTACGGAGGTCACCCATGCCTCCACACTGTCTGCCGTGCTCTCTGAAGAAAGTAGCCTGCTCTCCTCCATGGCCCCTGAACTTTACCTGTCCTTATTTTTATTTTTTTAACTTACAAGTGGAACTTGACACAAGGAAAACGGGCATATTTTTCCTTCCTGGAAAAGAATCACCTTGAGAAGAGAGGAATTTTAAGAGTGGAACTAACACTGCTAATTGGAAAGAACCAATACTATCAATTTCTCCATCATCAACCAGTTTACTGCATAAGTATAAATAAAAACAAAGAATTAGTCTACTAAATGAACTTATTGTCTTAGAAAGTTGAAAATACTTTGGATGCCTGCTTATAAATATTCATGAACATGTAGATTTTCCCCAACATTTCTTCAGCATAGCAACTTCTGAGTTAGTGTACATGATTTATATAGTGTATTCAATTATGAGATGGTATGGCATCGTCTTTCTGACAAACTCTCTTGTATGTCAAGTTGAAAGAAATATTACGTTAACAGAAGGTATACATTAGCAGATAAACTGGAAGGAGAAACTAAAACAAGAAAAAATAAAGAAGGGTGTTTTCAGTGAAGAAGACAAGCAGGTGAAATACCCTGGCCTGTTCAGACAGTTCCTTGGGGAGATGCCCACCATCAGAGCACAGCACTCCCACTCACTGCTTGCCTTGCCATGAACCCACACTGCTCCAAGTACAGCAAGAGGCCAAAAGTAACCATCAACCTGCTGTTTTTCAGTTTCAAGATTTCCCAATGACACTAGAGTTAATGACCTGCAAGGCACATATCTGCCATTTCTGAAATTTAAGGCTCCTGATAGCTTTTTGGACTATCAGCCACTGGGGAGCCTCCAACAAGTCTTAAAAAGTAAGCACAAATTAATAATTAAACGGTGACAGGTCAGTCCCTGCTTTGTGCTCAGGAAAAAGCACAAAAGCTTCTCAATCTTGCTTCCTGAAATAAAGTAGGTATTAAGCGATGCTGGAGTAAAATGCTCCAGTCTCTTGTCAGCAACAGAAATGTAAAAGGAGTATATTCTGAAGTCTTTGCTAATGTGAGCAAAATTCCCCAACATTTTCTTCAGAATGAATTTTGATTCTGAAAAGGACAGAATCTTGACTGTTCATACAGACATTCAGACTGAGCAAAAGGGATCTTGAAAACAACCAAAGGGGCCCTCTTGACTAACGTAAATGGATTCAATGCAACATTTAGATTGATGCTAAACTTTATGTTTTGTGACAGAGGAATTTTTTTGATATGCTAGTATGGCTCCAAAGCCCCATTTTAAGTATACAGTCTAAAATAAAGGATATATAACATTTCCAAAAAGGGAAAGTCCAAAAATCCAATCCTAAGGTGTTATTTTCCCCCAAATACCCACAGGCAACTAGGAATAACTGCCTTTGAATGTAAGTACAAGCTTTATGGGCTCCTAAGGTAATGTCACAAAAAGATCAAACTGCTGCTGATCAATTCTCATGGTCATATGCTATACAATTTTTATGAAGACTGACAAAGAGAAATAGTCAACGGATTCCAGGCAGTTGCATTACTTTCACTAAAAGAAATGAAATTCCTAAAAGACAGATGATAATTCCTAGGGAAAAAGAGCAGATCCTCTTTTCCCTTGCTGCTTTCCACTGTATCTTCATAAGAAAAAAAAAAAGAACAATGCATTTTGAAATGAAAAGATACGTTCTAAAAGGCAGCTACTAAAATAGGAAATGCTTCTGATGGCTGACTTCAAGAGGAAGTAAATCTAGAACGGAATATTCCATGTACTTCCTAGACATCAGAGGACAACACAGTGAATGCCAGCCTGGCTGAAAAAGTGAAATAATACGATGCCAAGGAGCCCTACTACCGTACTGACAACAAATGTGTTAAAAGACAAAAGGTATTTTAAGCTGTAGGACGTCATCATTTTGGCATTAATGGTGTAAAGCTGGAAAATGCCAACAAAACAAGGAAAGACCATTTATATTACTTCATTGTCAGAGAAGGACAAAGTATACAATCTTAGAATAATTCATTTATTTAACAAATACTGAGTTTCACACAAGTGCAGTACATGAAACAGGAGCAGTGGCAGACGTGGTTGTCAACTCAGTAGCTCCTGGGTACTCTTTTTCCCCCAGTCTCCACAGCCTGCTTTTGCCAGGGAAATGAAAGAGACTGAAGTCCTAACATCCCACAAGGTTTTGCAGGTCTTGGATGAAGAGCAGGGTAGACAGGAGATTGGATAATGAGACCAAATACAGCCACAGTGGGTGGAGTAATCTACCAGGGTTTCCCTAAGAAAGTACCACCCAACGGGAACCAGTGAAACCCAAAGTTGTTGTCTCATAGCACTGGAGGCTCCAAGGTTGAAACCAAGGTGTCAGCAGGATTATTTGTCACGGCCTGAGGGAAGGATCTGTTCTAGGCCTCTCTCCTTGGCTATGGATAGCCCTCTTCTCCACGTGTGTCTTCAGGTGGTATTCCTTCAGGGTGTGTCTCTGTATCCTACTTCCCCTTCCATGAGGACACCAGCCCTAAAAGACATCCTAAGGGCCTCATATTAGAGTTGCAGTGACACAGTTTCCAAGGAAGGCCATACTTGCTTACCACTAGCATTTCAATATATGAATTATAGACTGAGGGGCAACACATTTCAACCCATAACAAGGCGTAATGGAAAAAGCACTAGGAGTTTCCAGGAAAAGAGCTTTTTTTCTTTCAATGAAAAGTGAAAGAAATGCTGATCTTGCTTCCTTTCTTTTTGATATGGAAATTGAACAATGAAGAAAGAAAGAATACTGGTGAGAACTGCTGTCACCACCTAGACACCAGGAAGATGATAAAACATACAGATGAGCCAATATGAATTCAGTAACTCCAAAGGTTACAGGTAAGAAAAATAAACTTGTAAGGCATTTTTGTCTTCTGCAACTAAAACCTATACTGTAACCAATACTCTAGAAAAAAGAGGAAAGGCAATATAGCACATTTATGATGAGAAAGAAAAATTAAATGCTCATCAAGAATAACCAATTTGTTTTCCACAGCTGGACACATTATCAAGCAATTAGCATAAAAAGAAAAACACTAGA